ATATATATATATATATATATAATAATAATAATAATAATAATAATAATAATAATAATTAATAATAATAATAATAATAATAATAATAATAATAATAATAATAATAATAATAATAATAATAATAATAATAATAATAATAATAATAATAATAATAATAATAATAATAATAATAATAATAATAATAATAATAATAATAATAATAATAATAATAATAATAATAATAATAATAATAATAATAATAATAATAATTGTAATAATGATAATGATAATAATAATAATAATCCTTTTCCAATAAAAACACAATCAGATGATGCTGCATAGCGGAATTTGCATCAATCCTAAAGCTGATAGCATAAATGAAATTCTGATAACACATTTTGAAAGGTAACAAAGATAGGATTACCTTGTCTGAAATAATTATGCTCAATTAGTTTTTCGTTTATATCGATAGCTGAGAAATAAACATTTTCAACGATATTTGGATACGAGAGGTATTATAAGGCTAATAACTATGAATTATAACCATGAAAACTTGTACTATTTGGACAGTTATAATCATAGGAACCTGTACTGTTCGTACTTGTCACCATAATTGTTAATTTAATGATCATTTCATAAAACCAACCAATCCATTAATGTTTACCAATTCGGACTGCAATATGTAAAATTGGAGTGATTTTTCAGAACTTCGAACTTATTCAAGATATTTTTAAAGTTTAAGAAATGCTTGATAGAGTAAATTGTTTTGGTAAGGAGTAAGAAGAATGCTTCAAATTTGAATGAGTTAACCATAGGCTAATGAAAAATATCATTCCAACGATAGTATTTTTCAATTTTCAAAATTTTCGAAATTAAAACTAAATTAGGAAAAAGTTACATTGAAAAGGAAACTTTCCTTTGTTTGTTCCTAACTGAAAGTTAATGCTCGGAAAATGATAACTTAAATAATTGGACAGTCTATCGATTATTTTTCACTTTTTTTTTCTCCCTCAAAAAATCTAATTATTGTTATTTCCAGTGTCGCTGTGAATTACTTAGCTCAGCATAAATTTTGCATTAGACTACATCATTTCAGAAAAATTTCTGCAGATAGAAAAAAGTTCAAGAAACGTTTAGTAAGAAGGACAACTTAAAAGAAAAATGAGTACATTTTGAAGACAGCTGAATGTGACATTTTCTTTTTTTTTGGAAAAAAAGATAGTAGCAGGATTAAGCAAAATAGGAAGAGGAATATTGAAGCTTATTGAAGAAGATGATAAGCTTATATCCTCAACACTGTTTAATAAATGTACCTCATAATTTAATATCGTAAAATAATGAAAACCCACAAATACATACATTAACCTTGTTATGATACTATTATGATCGAAATTCAATTTTTTAATTATTAATTACAAACAAAATGAAAATTAACGAAAATTATTCCATCACACTATCAGACCTGTCTTAAAATTATCATTTGATAAGATTAATCTATTCAGTACTGATTTCATTTTCAGATATTTATTTCCCTGTCCTGCACTTTATGCTCTATTTAATTGCTGTAAAAAGAAATAATAGAGAAAATTTACATTATATTGGAAAATCTACATTGAAATTGGAAATGAATTTGCACACTCCATTTCCTATCATTTCTCATCAAGCGGTATTGCTGTTAAAATATTATCAATGATAATTTAGGAAACGATCATTGGACATACCGTAATGGGTCTTTTTATTTTAGTATTACAATGACAAAGTTTCATTAATTGCTATTTTTTGCGGTAAATATTCCCAGTGGTATTAATTAATATCATTAAAATCCCAAAAAAATCACAATCAGAATTATTATAATACAAATTTTCCACTAATTTTTTCAAAATTTTGCACATAACGATCAGAATTTTGCAATAAATTTGTTTTTTCTTTTTTACCATCCAATTTTCTGGAAGGTTTTTGTGACGCAGGAATTCAGATGGCATTTGTTCACCATCTGAAGCAATTACAATACCGTAAAAAAAAATTCTTGGCTATGGTGCTTTTTGTAAGAATTCGAAGATTGATAGTGGGCAGGAGAAGGATCATCAAACATTTAGCCATAATTTAAAAAAAAAAATACGACGAAAGCGAAAAGAGGCTTGAGACCCAAAAAAATGCGCAAGTTTGAGCGTAAACAGTCAGTTAAATTGATATAATTGGCATAATTATTGAATTATCATAATCCATAATTACACACCATAAGATGAAAAGCACGAATCTTTATTACTAGTGATAATGAATGAACTGAAAATATCGTGCTCTTTGTTAAGAAATTCGTTCTTTTATGGTTTTTCAAATGTTAATTTTTTAAATTACTCAACTTTATGATATTTTTATGAAAAAATTACTTTCACAGTATGATTACAAAATGATAAACTGATAATAATAGTAATAGATAATATCTGGAGCAATTGTTTAATTTAGTATTTCAATTTATTGCGTAAATTTTAGCGTTCAAGCTTTCAACGCTTCTAATCATGTCAAATTACGCATTGATAAATATAAAATAAAAGTATGATATCTTGTCAGAATATAAACCTCAGAAAAGAGTACCACAATTAACTGAAATAAAATGATCTCATTGAAATTTGCAATACCGTACCACTCTTGACATTTTTGGAAAAAAAAAATTCCTTTCGTGACAAATGCGCTATGAATTGTTGTTTTTCTATTAGTGATGCCATTGCTTTCGCATTTAATATTTTTTGGCGTAATAAATGAATTACATCGAAATTTGGTAATATCTTGCACTTACCCATTGTGAATTTCATACGGAAGTATTCAAAGCTACCGGTAGATGAAATACAGGAATAGACAGAGAGAACTAGAGAAGAAGGAGTATGTTTTAAAGTTGTGATAAAAACTATCGAGAAAAAAAAGTGATGGGAGCAACAGAAATCCGAACGATGACCTTTCAATACACGGATATCGGTGAAGCAGCGTCTAGAGGTCAACAAAAAAGGTTAATACTTGGACATGACGATCGTTCAATCTATAATGTAAATGTAAATTACGATTTGAAAAACTTGCCATCACCGACCCAGAAAAAGTTTGTTCACGTATTCAGAAAAGATCGGAATTGATGGAGGATGGCGCAATAAGAAGCGAAACTACCTATGTTGTGTGAGCAGGTGTATAAGAAGTTTGTAACGAGAAATGACCACCAGCTGTCTGTCATTGTCACCGTTCTATTGGAGAAAAATTCCTATTTTTCAAGGTCAAAAAGACCCATGGGTATGTGTGTTTGTCGATTTATTTTTTTTTCTACCTACAAATATAACGACTGTCCGCAAATATGCATGCGTGGCTGGTATGTGACACAAACTGCGACACGAGTGAATGATCTAACTGAACTTGGGGATAAAGGAAAAGAGCGAAAAGTGTTATCAGGCGAGAACAATGAAAATTTTCTAGAAACTAGTGGGTGAGATAACTGACCCTTTCCTGATGGCATTCTCACTTCGACAAATAATATATTTTGGAGCAACAGCGCCTATCAGCGGTGTTTGCGATGAAAACGAAAGCCAACAACATAACTTATTTCTAAACTCAAATCTTGGTTAAAAGTTAACTTTACTAATCGATATAAGAAATGAATTTATTTCAAGTGTTAGAGGAAGTGTAATTAATGTTAATTAGCGCCATTTAAATAGAATTAGTGGCAATAATATGCAATTAAAATTATTTCTAATAAATAACGACCTTCGACCTTTTAGTTTGATCATTTTTGGTGGAAAATAAAATAAAGTTTTTCTTCCTTCAGTTCAGTGCAAAAAGAAAAACAAAAACAAAAACAAAATCGAAAGAAGAGAAGGGTTTCATCCAAGATTTATTGAAAAGCAGCAATTTCGTTGATTTATTTGGCATCAGTCGCTTTTCAACTTTTATCTTTTAT